TCGAGTCGGAATATCTGACAAATCTCAGCAAACGACATCTTTCAGTCACTAAGGTGCATTCATCTAAAGCTAAAAAAGAAGGATGTTCTGCCTCAGGCGGTGACTCTGGAGGAGGGGGGGTTCATGAGAGGATGTGGCGCTGCTTTGAAAGAGGACAGCGACGCGTCAGAGGCGTTCTATTTTACTCCTCTCTGTGGCAAACTGCGAGCCTGGAGGCACAGCCAAGAATATCAGGGCCAGGCCTGCAGTAACGCTCACAATTATGTAATGTGTTAACATAACTGATGCTCATCTGGACCAGGAGAAACACAGCCGTCTTATCATCGTTCGCCACATGCTCAGAAATGCTTCCATTACCGACTCGTGAGGCTGATTCTTGTTTGGAACTGCAGCTCTCAGCCAGACGCTCGCTCGCTCGCTCTGCACGGTCTGTTATGCAACTCCCACTCGGTCCATGCAAATCCACCAACACGAGTCACTGGTAGCCTTCCGAGCAGTCGTCATAGAAACGGCGCAAGATAATGTTCATAGACTTTAAGGCTGTAATGAGGGTGTGTAATGTCAACAGACACAGGCATTGTAATGTCCAACTAACATGTTGAGCTTAGCCGAGCCCTGCCTCCCCCCCCATTCACTCACTCACACACAAACACACACACACACCCTAGTCTTTGGGATCAGCAAAGTGTATGACTGCAGTTGGAAAGTTCAGCTGTGGGTCAGTGTGGAGATTTTTCGAACGTGAAGGAACAAGCCTCCATTCGCTCCACTCTGCCGGTGGAGCTTAGTGGGCAGAATTCAGGCCGGCCGGAGAGACAGACCAGACAGGAGGGGTAGAAGTGACAGCTGAGGAATGTCTTCTGTGCTCCCTCTTTGCTATGGTTTCCAGCGACCGTCATGTGAGGAATGCCCAGGGTAGGACAGCAGGTCTTGGAATGTTGCCCTCCGAGACCAGTTTAGCCGATGGAATAGTAATCTGTAATCTCCACTCATCATTGGAATATCTCAGGACAAACTCTCAGTTATCCACCTACAGTGCCTTGCAAAAGTACTCATCTCCCTTTAATTTTTTTTTTAAAAAAAGGTCAAATTCAATGTAATTTACTGAAAAACATTATGAAACAAAGCATCGTATAGTTGGGAGGTAAAAGGAAAGTAATATTTATTTCTTGAAGGATGGGTTAAGAGTTCTCATGGCTTTCTTTGCGACAGATCAATGCAGTGATCGTTCATCTGTCAAAACTCTAGATTGGCATCAGTGACAATCCACGAGAGCAAATCTATTCAGTCTAGTTCTATGCTTTGTGCCGAGTAATGTCATGCTTTATTATTTATTTTACATTATATTCGAAATTATTAATTGCACTTTCTGAACCATTTGAAAAAAGGTTTGCTACAGTTTATTTTTACATGCTTAACCAAAGTAGTCAAATTATTATCGTCACTTTCTCTATTGCTTATTCGACGTTGGCTGTTGTATTCCTACTTGACTGAATAAATTAAACATGTGTTGTTATTACATATTTGACCAACACTGAGAATCTATTGGTGTATTTACAAATAAATGTGTAATTCAGCACATTTATATCTGTGTTTAACCTCAGACATCTTTACCCGAAGTGAAAAATAAGTGGATTGGTGCATCCCTACTGAAAAACAATATATTATTTTTCTTCCACGTCACAAGCATGCACTTTAGCAAGGCATTGTACATCTGTAGTTTACTGATTAAAATAGCAGCTTTAATCAATGCATCAGCTTGTTTACAAGTCCTTCACTTGCAGCAAGTCTGCGATTTGGACAAAGACATAACCTCCTGCCTGAATGACACCAGGCCGGCAGTGCACAGCAGTGCTGCAGACTGAGTCATACCCAAACTTAGTATCATATCCTGAAACCCAGTTAGGAGAACTTGTGGTGGTGGCATTTTTAACCCTGAACTGCTCACCAGGAATGGCAGAGATATTGCAAGTGTAGAGTGGGCCATTGTGAACGTGACACGCAAACGGAGGCAGAGGTCAGAACATTTCAAAGGATGTCCTACAAATATATTACCATGCAACAATAAATAAGAGCATCACAGAGACGATGCAGCCAAAGTTTTGCTCATCATTTTTTGTGTGTCAATAAAAAACACAAAATCCCCACAGCTAAGCTCTGCTGTGCAACTAAAAGCTCATCAGCTTCTCACGTCTAGAGATCATTCAACAGGAAGAGTCAACAGCAAATTGTTCCTGGCTCCAGCTCTTCCCTGGACACAGGTCCAAATAACGACGTTTCCACCTGACGAGTCTGAACAGGGGCCTTGCTGATTCCAGATTTTATTATAGGAAACTCAGAGCAATGAAAATTGCATATTAACCAGAACTATTAATAAACACAAAGAGAAGAGAGCCTGTGAGAGAAAACACGGCTTAGACTAAAAGGCATCCATATCAAAAAACTGATTTTACAACAGCACAACAGAAACCTCTGAACTTAATGACTTCACACCTTCTTTCTAAGACTTAAGACACGAGCAACCAATGGTAATGAGTAACCACTGAATCCAAGATCATTTTAACATAGAGCCTCCATTGTTCCTTCAGAATGGGGCACCTTAGGAATCATTAGAAAATGATTCCACAACTACAACTGTTTTCATTTATTATTTACAGTAGCTGCTTGAGTACTATAAGTTTATTTCAAATGCAACAAGGCAAACAAGGCAGCGTACTGAAGGCAATGTATGTTGATTATGTTCCAACATTTGAAAGTCCAGAATGCTTCAAATTCCATTTCCAACCCAAAATCACCATTTGTACAAATCTCCTCTCTCCAAGCAGACCATAATATTCCCTCAATGTGCACCGAAAGTATAGCTGCCCTATTATTAGTACTGGATCAGCGGGGCTCCAGAAAGCTTGTAAATAAGAAGTGTTGCATTGTTTGCCTTGAAAAGATTTGAATCACATGGTAAAGAACCTCCTGATGTCACAGAAAAATGACTGCTGGCCAAGTCGGGCTAAAATGGGCAGCGTTGGGAAAATTTAGTTAAGTTATTGACAAATAAGGAGAAATTAATCTTTTTCATACGTTCCAGAAGGACTTCTCCACTGTAACAGCCTGATAATCTGTCCCCAGGTTCCCTCTCCGTCTCAACCATGCAGGTGACAGACAGACAAAAATGAAACTGCAGTAGTGGCATTACCTTCATATGCACTGATGAGGCATTTCCCAGCCATGCTCCACATTTCTTTGACGCCCGACTTAATGGTTTCAAAATTTTACATTAAAAACTAGTTGACTCATAACAGAAAAAATGTGCAGCAGCATGATGCAGTAATCTAAACATTTCTCAAGATACACTTTTAACAACAACTTAAAACCAAACCCGGCTGTAACTTGGGTGCAATTCTATGGCTGCAGTTTTATTCCCGTCACTGGATTCAGTAATCCAGTTCACTTACTAATTCGTTATTTGCCTTTACAAGCTGAAATTTTTCAAAATCTCAGATAAAGTTAATACATTCAGAACTGAATTGGTTATTCATTTAACTCCTGTTACACTGTATAAACCAGGCCTCAGCATCACACAGTCTTACAGCAGTCATGTTTACTGTACATGCCAAAAATCAACATATCATTTACGTTACAACTTTTTTTTTGCATGTTTTATAGTAAATTAATGCTTTAATTATCGAATAAAAACATAAAGCGAGGGAGAGCTTTACATCTCATGTTTGTGAAACGATCACCAAATAAATGCGTTCAAAACTGGTATTGAGGCTGTAAAAATTTCGGTCTTCACTTTATTTTAATACAGATCTTGCATTAGAAGATCTGTACAGCTTTACGACTAGCAACGTACCCGGCTATATGTTACCAACAGCTAGATCTGCATATAAACTGATGAAGAGGACAGTACGTCCATTGCCGAATGGTCGATCGCTTATTTTATACTTTTTCTGACGTGTATTTCTACTGATCCGATTGCTTAATTCTGCCGCAAAGTCTAGAAATCCTGCAAGTGCTGAGCGAGGCTAGTGGATGTAGCTCAAGTGATTAGCGGGCAAAATGTTAGCTTGGGACGGATGACATTACAGCCAAAACATCCAAAAGCCAGCACTATAAACTTTTTGTTTAAGTAGACAAACAGAAGAGGGTATAGTTGTTTAATTCTAGAGGCCATATGTATAGCTGAAGTAGTCAGTCAACTCGGCTAATGAATGAATTAAGCTAAAGTGCAAAGCCGCAAGCGACAGTTATATTAGCATGCTAACGCAGTGCTAGCTCACCCCTAAATACATTAATTTCTTTCTCCATTTAGACATGGGTTATGAAAACGAGTGTTAAAGCCAACTACAACCTTCTGATGAAAATATTGCAATGGTACTATTGGTGTGTAACAAAACACCCAAACTAGCCGCTTCTTCCTCTCCAGAGAGTAGTCACCGTCGCGGCTGTGGGTATATCAACAAAACGACTTTTACTGTTAGCCAGGTAGCAACTCTTCACCGCTGAATGCCTAAGAAAATCCATCATTAATGACAATTCCTTCTGACGTGGCTAGTTTAAAGTATTCCATATGTGATCGGCAACCAATACTTTCTCTAAAGGTCAGAAACACTTTTCAAAGTAGTTTTTTCACATCGGCTTTGAATGTGAAATGCAGCAGAACAGCAATTAGACTGCACCCAAAGGTTTAAGATATGTAGTCTCAAAGTAGTTAAAAAAGGTAAAGGAAAATCGGTCCAAAAGGGGAAGTGTGTGAGTCAATACCCATTCTGCAAATTGTGAACATGTTGTACATAAGATGATCAAGCTCAGGCAGCTAATGGCTTCAGTCCTCTGCGTCGAAAAAGACGAGTCTGCTCGGTAGGTAAACAACGGGATGAGAATGGCTTCCATTTGACAGGTGTTCCAGGGCATGCAGTGGCTCAAGTAAAGGGATATTTGCGTCTGAAGGAACCAACTGTGCCAGTGAGTGATATTACAAACAATGGCAATGAAGCACAAACCTGGTGAAGCGCAGTAAGACCGTCTACATTGGCGTAGTTGATGTCAGCGCCTCGGTCAAGCAGACGGAGCACCTCCTCGGTATCACCGCTTGAGCAGGCGGCCAGAAACACGGCGCCATCATCGAACTTCACCTTCGTCTTCTTCTTTTTCAGAACAGGAGGCTCCTGGTCCGTCTCCGAGCCCAGCCATCGCTTTAACTGTTCATTCCTTTTCTGCTTGGCGTCCGCCATCTTCATCCCCCTCCTGTCTCGGGCTTCTTATCGTGCTCCGAGAGAGGGTATACTTTATAGAGGCACTATCCCACAGCGCACTGGGGCGTGGGAAGGGAGGGCTGGGGAGGAGGGGGAAAGAGGCGTCTGGATTGTTTTCCATAACCTCGCGAGAACTGGTTCCCAGGAACTGCAGTACAAAAGGACAATACAATTTCATACTGTATTATGTGTCGTACACATTCACTGGAGAACAGGTTTAACAATTCAGAAAATGTAGTAAATATAAATAAATTTAAAAAGTACAATTAGTGAATAATATTTAAATTCCTTCCTCTTTTTTATGCATTTATTTATTTACATTCCTGGTGTCATGACTAAATACACAAGCGCTGCAAAATTATAATTTTCTTAATTATTTTTTAATTGTAACCATGTTAGCGTTTCTTTTTTTATTACTTAATCAAACAGATTCATCAATTCAATATTCTTCAAAATACATAGTTGATGATCTGACTATTTTTGTACAAACTAAAGTATGTATAAATGTTAGGGTATGTCCGTTAATAGAAGAATAGAACAGAAAATAATAGAATAGAACAGAATAGAATAGAACAGAATAGAATAGAATAGAATAGAAGTAACCTTTGCTGACCCACAGTGGAAGAAATTTTGGTGCCATGTATTTTATAACAGGTGATAAAATACATGTAAAAAAAATGGAGACTGAACGGCAGGAACAAACATAAAATAAAATAAAAAAAAAACATAAAAATAATACTGTGCACTAACAAATACCATACTCAATTTAAAAGTAATGTTCAGCAGAGTACACTGATTTGGAGAAAGAAACGTACAAGATGTACAGACTAGAAATGGAAAAAACCACAAAATACATGAATATAATATTCTTTGATCTAAACTATTCTATTGTAGCTCTGACTGTATATTTATATAAAGGTTTATATAGAAGTTGTACCTCCACCTCAGTTTCAGGTCTTTTGCATTGCCTTAGTAATTTCCTCCAGTATTGCCTTGTGTTTACATTTATCTTCTCATCTCCCAACAATTTGTGGTTGTATTGTGGCAAAATGTAGAGAGACACTGCTTTACAGCTTATTATGGTAAAACAAATTATTTGAATATCATTCCTTACAAAAAAGAAAAAAACTGTGCCTGTCTTATATTTTGTTATTTTTATTTTTATGAGTGCTGCGCAATGGCTTGCAACCCTTGGTATTAGAACTCTTAAAGATGTTTTATTATTGTAAGGCGTGATGCTAATAAACTGTCAACACTGAGGTGGGTAGTCTTTTAGTCTTTTATCTTTTCATTTCAGGAAGTGGAAGGAATTTTTTTTTCTCTCATGCTAAACAAACAAACTTTCATTGTCAAGGTATTTTCACTTCGGTGCACACATAAATGCATCAATGACAGGGCTCTACCAGCTTTGTCCCATGCGATCTATTTGTTTCCATGTCATGGAAACGCGCTGCTTTTCACAGAGAGAAATAAAATCCATCTCACCAGAGAGCACCTGCAGGAATTTGATAAGTAACACTTGAAGAGCTTGTAATGTCTGGAGGACTAAAGCACCTTGGTGGTCCTTCTCAACCTGGAGCAAAAACAAGGTGGTCAGGCATAAAGTCTTTTTTATTTCAACACAGCCATCTGTTATTGTTGGCAGAGAACCGTGTATACTCAGCAGGAGCTGCAGTATTACCTTCTCACATGTAAGTTGAGGGTATGAAGTGTGGCCCTGGTATTGATTGTTTTTTTCCTCTCTGAGGAGTCATTACAGATGATAATGATGTTATCTCTCTCTCAAAAGTGAATGTACATGATTAGATGCCACCCACCAAATGTGGACCTGACATCCTGGATAAAAATCTGTTCAAGAAAAAAAAATCTGAAGCATTTATGCAACTGTGAGCCATTCATATAACATTATTATTTTCTCATTTAGGCACAGAAATTGTGTGACTGTGAAATAATTTTGGTAATTTAATTCGGCAAACGTTAGGAGGAATGGTTAGCAGAGATGGCGTGGGGGAAAGGCTGTGATTCCCCTGAGTCATAAGGATGTGAAACATCATCAGCTTCACTGTCAGGTTGTTGTCCAGAGGCTTCAGTCAGTGTTGTCCTCAGGGAAGTTTAAAGGCACACCTGATAGTGAAAACTGAGGTTTTCCAAAATGATTAACCACAGCTCACTGTGTTAGCATAGACTTAACAATTAAGCAAAATTTGGGTCCCATATGCTGTAATGCATGCATAGACTTTATTTCATTAATGTAATTGTTAAATATCTTGGAAATTTGCTATTTATATATGCATAAGAAGAGACTACCTGCTTCAGTAGAAATAAAAATTAAATACAGGCAAGTTATTCTTCACACGAACAATGAAATCCAGTACTGTGAGCCAAATCAAGTCTATTTGATCAGACTGTGGCACTACTGAGCTATAAAGGTAGCCATGGTGGCTTTAATGGTTCCAGCTTGTCTGCTTTACTGGGTGTATCATCTTCGATGCCTCATGAGGTTTAAGTCAGGCGAGTCAGCTGGCTGGTCAAACACAATGATGTCATGGTAATTACACACCAAACTCTTCAATTGGTGTCAAATAATGACAATGATAAAAAGGAGGTTATTCTTGTTGCTTGCAAACATTTTTCCTTTCACTAAACTTTCCATTTGTAGGTATAAATCAACAAAACAATCAACAACTCAGTGGCAGTCCTGGAAAAGCTTCTTCAGGGATCCTGAACAGGTGTCAGAATCTGTTGACAGAGATCCAAAAGTCTCTGGCACAACTTCCCCGACTCCCATGATGCAAGGGGAGGGACAAAGATCTGATGGAGTCTACACTTCCCCAGATGCTGTTGACAGAACATCTTATAGTCCATTTCTCTTCTTTGTAGGAGTGTCATGAAAAGAAAATCATTGAAAAGAAAAAAGCCATTTGAAGTCCCATTTGTAGTTGACCATTAACCATAAAAGGGGAAAAGCAGAAGCACAAAAGAAGGTGCTCTTGTCAGACAAGACTAATGACCCTTTTTCTGCCCTGAAAGCTTCCAATCTCTTTTACATATACCAGCATTCATGGATGGATCCTGTTTATGCATCTAGTTGGACAGCTTCACTTATATAAGTGATACTGCATAAGCACTACACTCAATGTTTGAGCACATTAGTAATTGCAAGAATCACAGACTAATCTTACGCTAAGGCTGTTTAAGATTACATTTCCAGGTAAATAGGGACTTGCCGATAATCATTTCAAACAGTTAATGATGTGACACATGAGGTTTTCCCAGGTAGATTTTAATGTCTGACGCAAACCATGATCTGTCAGCACCCGCCGCTTTGATCTCCTCTGACTGTTGCTCCTATTCCCTAAAAAAAAATAAAACTCTGTGGAAGTGACTCAGGTTTGTCAGTAACAGAAAATTATGTTTGCACTCTCTTTCGGTTTGTCTGCAGCATCAGAGACGGTCATGTGTGTTGATTAACAGCAAAAACAGAATGTCTCAGTGTTGGCACGTTCACAACCGTATGACATCAGTGCCAGTACTGATGTCTGAATTCTCAGAGGAAGCTCTTGTTGACTGGTTAGGTCGGGTATTTCTTAAGGGAGATGCTTACAAGTGTGGTTTGTGAAACCAGATGAGGTGTGCAAGTCAAGTGTGGAGTAAAGACAGCTGGTGAGGGGGAGGCTGGTTGTTTGTCTCACTTTGTAAATGTACAAGGGTGCGTGCATTTTTATTTGGTCTACTGAGGATTAGTCAGTTTCAACCAGCCCCTTTTTGGGAAGTAGAAGATGGTATTGTCAAACAGTTATGGAGTCATCTAACCCAATAAACTGATCAAAATTAGATTCTTACAATACTAATTTACAGTCACCATAATGTTTCAAGGGTTCTGCATAATAGGAGATAGCAAAAATAATCAGTTTTTTATTAGGTTTTCACATACCAGAAATTACACGATGTTGTTATTCATTACACAAAAATAAAGCTGACTGCATGGCCTCAACACCACAAAGCTAGTTCTGTAGTGTTTAGTGGGGCTACCTTTTGTCATTTCATTGGTTCGGCAAACATAATACCTGCACAAATTTCATAATAGAGGCTAATAATGTGCAGACCACCACATTTGACATAGTTAGGATCCTCATGTTGAAGTTGTCACGTGAAAAACTCAGATCAACGTCGGTTCCCAAGAGAAAACTGCATTGCTAATGGTTTTGGAAGCAGACAGAAGGGATCTGTTCCTGATGACCTCATGGGTGACAAAGCAAGAAACGGTTCTGCTTGAGTTTTCTGTTGTGCAAACTACTCGGCAATGAACTGAAGAAGTCACAGCAGCAGCCAAAGAAGAAGCAAGTTGTCTCTGTTTCAAGCTACCAGCGTGTCAGTGCAGGTGACCCAGACAAATAGCACTCAGAGACTGGTGACTGGTGAAGTGTGGACACCTCAGTCCCATCTGAGAGAAGCCAGACACCACACTTACATGCTCCCATGTCACCCAAAAGCCTGTTGTTGGCGCCCCCGACGCTGACACACTCATCTCCCTTACCAACAGCCTCTTTATCAGGTCATATAGAAATAGTCATGCTTTGATGTTATCAGAAGACTTTTAAAAAGTGATGTTGAGAATTAGGCAGATGGGGATTCATCAGGCCTTCTGACCCTCTCAGTCAGACACCATCAGGCCTGTTTTTATCGTGCCACAAAAACGATTTTGAAACTGTCCCTCACGTAAAAAACCGCAAAACAGACCACTGCAGCAAAAATGTTTTTGTTGCTGACTACTAAGGAAAAAAATCTTTCACAATTTTCCCACTTGTTTGGAAACCATTTGGATAGTGCAAATATACAATTTTCTCACCACAATCAACATCGGAACGCCATAAGAAACTGAACCATGTGAACCATGTATACAATCACTACACTCAAATTATTCTGGTCAGAAGCTTTCATCTAATGATCATAAGTGTCGATGTCATTTAAGTTACACCACTATCAAGCATGGTTTTGGTAACATTATGATAATGGTAGTTGATGACGACAAAACTGTGTTTTAGGGGAACAACGCTAACAAAAAAGGGGTTTAAATCTGC